TATGTAAACTCTGGTGGGAAGTTGTGGTTGTTCGTCCACTCGTAAATCTTGTAGTTTAAGTTTTTCATACACATTAATTTTACAGATCATGTTTGTTTTTATATATTAATTGCGTGAAACTGGCCTATTTACTTTGTTATAGTCTTTTTTTTTTTATCTGCCGTATTCACCAACGTGTAGAAAGAAAGTCATTGAAAAATAAATATCCTACTGCGGAAAAGGACAGGTCAAGTCGTCTGTACGCTGAAGTGACCCAATCATCACTGGGCCTCATTCATCAACTTTTTTTTTAAAGGGAACAAGGGGTTGGAATCATGCATCGGCTCGGTGTAATGAATGGACATGTCAACTGGCAGAAGGAAAGCCATCGTTTACTTAACACGACTAAAAGAAGCATTTAGAAAAGCGATGTTACCCAGACAAGGTCACAATCAATCAACGAAACCGACAGAGCACACACACTGTGTGCGTGTCTCCATAGGGCTTGCACTCCCCTCCTCCATAAGGGCTTGCACTCCCCTCCTCCATAAGGGCTTGCACTCCCCTTCTCTATAAGGGCTTGCACTCCCCTCCTCCATAAGGGCTTGCACTCCCCTCCTCCATAAGGGCTTGCACTCCCCTCCTCCATAAGGGCTTGCACTCCCCTCATCCATAAGGGCTTGCACTCCCCTCCCCCATAAGGGCTTGCACTCCCCTCCTCCATAAGGGCTTGCACTCCCTTCCTCCATAAGGGCTTGCACTCCCCTCCTCCATAAGGGCTTGCACTCCCCTTCTCTATAAGGGCTTGCACTCCCCTCCTCCATAAGGGCTTGCACTCCCCTTCTCTATAAGGGCTTGCACTCCCCTCCTCCATAAGAGCTTGCACTCCCCTTCTCTACAAGGGCTTGCACTCCCCTCCTCCATAAGGGCTTGCACTCCCCTTCTCTATAAGGGCTTGGACTCCCCTCCTCCACAAGGGCTTGCACTCCCCTCCTCCATAAGGGCTTGCACTCCCCTTCTCTATAAGGGCTTGCACTCCTCTTCTCTATAAGGGCTTGCACTCCCCTCCTCCATAAGGGCTTGCACTCCCCTCCTCCATAAGGGCTTGCACTCCCCTTCTCTATAAGGGCTTGCACTCCCCTCCTCCATAAGGGCTTGCACTCCCCTTCTCTATAAGGGCTTGCACTCCCCTCCTCCATAAGGGCTTGCACTCCCCTCCTCCATAAGGGCTTGCACTCCCCTTCTCTATAAGGGCTTGCACTCCCCTCCTCCATAAGGGCTTGCACTCCCCTTCTCTATAAGGGCTTGCACTCCCTTTCTCTATAAGGGCTTGGACTCCCCTCCTCCACAAGGGCTTGCACTCCCCTTCTCTATAAGGGCTTGCACTCCCCTCCTCCACAAGGGCTTGCACTCCCCTTCTCTATAAGGGCTTGCACTCCCCTCCTCCACAAGGGCTTGCACTCCCCTTCTCTATAAGGGCTTGCACTCCCCTCCTCCACAAGGGCTTGCACTCCCCTTCTCTATAAGGGCTTGCACTCCCCTTCTCAGAAATAATATATGCTTTTTCGACACATATGAACTACCCATCTAGGCTGGCTTCTCTCTCTCTTTCTCTCTCTCTCTATCTATCTATCTATCTATCTATCTATCTATCTATCTATCTATCTATCTATCTATCTATCTATCTATCTATCTATCTATCTATCTATCTATCTATCTATCTATCTATCTATCTATCTATCTATCTATCTATCTATCTATCTATCTATCTATCTATATCTATCTATCTATCTATCTATCTATCTATCTATCTATCTATCTATCTATCTATCTATCTATCTATCTATCTATCTATCTATCTATCTATCTATCTATCTATCTATCTATCTATCTATCTATCTATCTATCTATCTATCTATCTATCTATCTATCTATCTATCTATCTATCTATCTATCTATCGTTGAATTAGTCTTTTAATGTGTTTTCCCTAATCATTTTACGTGTCAGTGTGGGTAGTTTTCCAGCAGTGCAGTCTGTAGGATTCTGACATCGAGGATCAAGAGAATCCAGGTACAAATCCAGCAAACCATGTTTAGCCGTATAGACTGCCCACTCTCTCAGCAGCAGCGGATGTCGCGTTAGCTGACAATTGTAATTTTATGACCGCAAATGTAACCAAATTACTACCGTCTATATTTGTTTTTGTTTCTGTGTTTGGTTAGTGCCTGGTGGGTCTCGAGACAATGTCTTTAATGTTGCTGGGCCGCGGGGGTAGAATGGTTGAGAAACACTGCTCTAATGTATTTTATTCTCCAGCGATCTACAAGGAATAGATACCAACGAATATGATTTCCAGGGGGTTAAAAAGTCTGCAGGCCCTTCTAACATATTGACCCTCTGACCTCAGTCTGTTTGTATATTGAAAGATATACAACCGAACGAAACGTATATCAGCAAGCTTTACCATTAGAAGTGAAGGATCCTTTTCCACGCTTCCAGACGTAGTGGGCATATAGGGCTAGACCTTTATTTCATAGACCAATCAGCACTCGGTGTGTGATATAGTCAACATTATGCTGGTGTGTGTAGAGGTCTTGTGGTATTCTGGATTCGCTATCGAAGATGGCTCCAAAGATGAACTATCGGGTCCGCTAGGCAGGTTTTGCAAAGGTTTATCGTTATATGCAATGTGTTTATCATGTCTTCAAGTATGTTTCGGTAATCAAATAATACGAGTAATAAAAATTATGTGCCGAAGAGCAAATAAATATAGCAATTTATTTGAAAAATAAGAAATGTAGAAAAAAATACCTGAAAGCTGAATACATGGGGTGGTGGGGGGGGGGGGTCAGGCTCTTACAAATTTTCGGGGGAGGGGAAGCTCAAAGGATCTAAAAATACAGTTTCTGGCGCCTTTGGTGTTAAAGACCCATTGTAGTCAAACTTGCTTGTGAAGACGGCTCCTGGTTAACTGACACTGTGCAGCATGTTGCCGTCTGTTGAACCGTGCAGACAGGAAGTCTGAGTCCTGGCGTGGCTAACGGTAATTGTAGTAACCGTGCATGTGGTGGTGGAGATTGTAGCAGTAACATATGTTGAAACTAGTAGCAGCGGTAGGAAATAGTAGCATCGCCATGGGCTGTGAATCCCAGGCCTCCTCAAAGCACAATCTAATACTATCGTCTGGAAAAACGGAAATAGGCCAACCAACCAGTTATGGAAGCAGTAATAGCAGTAGTCGTAGTAGCAGCATCAATAGTAGCAGCAGTAGTAGTGGCAGGTAGCAGTTGTAGCAGCAGCAGCATCGACAACATTTTCCAGGTTTTATTTTATGTTGAATTCTCTAATAATGCAGACGAACCTGGAAGGAATAGTCTGAAAAGGTCTACCAAACAACGAGTGAACATTGTACCGGCCAAAAAGAGCATAGATCACATACTGGAACCGGTACAGTTCGTTCAACATCTCGTGAAGACACTTGCAAGCCATTTTCTCGAAAACTGCCTGTTGGTCCGCAACGATTTTTTTGCAAGCAGCCTTAGAATATCCATGACGCAGTTTTAGTCCATGCATGCTCAGGATGCTGAATACCAGCCAATTTCTTTGATCTTTCCGAACCATTGTAAATAAGTGGAGTGAACTTTTAGATTTTACAGAAAAGATGTATATTTCCGGTTCTTTTTATTTTTCAGAGGTGTGTCTTCATAATAAATTGATAGGCGAAGTAAATTTATTTGTTGGTATTTCTGTTCAACTGAGCTGAGTTTAGTTGCTGCAAGAAAGACATCACAGCACTCAGGAAATTTCTATATGCGCTCCGTCCCCATCTTCAGCAGCCAGCGCAAAGTTCCAGTACTAATGGTACTGTACGCAGTCTGATCATATGTCCATCTTGCCATTTTTCTGAGTGTAGTGTGCCGGCCAGGCCCTCTGGTCACACCCAGGTGTATTATTCTCTCCAGGTCTTGATAATCTATTTTCTCTTCTACTTGTTCCCAAAGGGCCTTGACCACATCTGCCTTGACATGTATCAACTCACCACCCAGTGGTGCAGATCCAGCCAGTCTGTCTGCCTTGTTCAATTGTAAACATGTCCCCAATTTGCAACAGTTAGTATTCCCATTCAGTCACCATTAGACCCCAGGGTGTAACTTAACTGCACAGCAAGTTGTATTATGGCTGACACATTCGGATATGGAGATGTATTTGCTGCAATTGTAGATGTAGCTAACAGGTTGATGATTTCGAACTACTCATCTAAAAAATGGTTTTAATCGCTCCGAATCTAACGATCCCAAAAGCTTGATAATTGTTACTGGCTGAATAATTGTAATCCATTTCGGTGCCGGTACTCGTCTTCCTCTAGGAGCACATGTTCAGCTTTTTTTTTTTTTTCTCTCCAAAAATCAATGTCTAGTTTGAGAAGGACTTCTTGAAATATCAATACTGCATTGGGGGAGCGAGTGGCTGAACGGTGTGAACGCTGAGCTCTAAAACGGGAGACCTGGGTTCGAATGCTCGGTAAGGCTGGGGATTTTTTCTGTTGGGGACACAAAATCCTCACCTGCACAGTCGTGGCGACAGCACTAGCCAAGCGACCGTCAACTCAAATACACTCCCCCTTCCCCCTCCCCCCTTCTGCCTCGATAATTTGGGACCGTTATTCGGAGGATAACCAAATATTGTTATATAACAGGCAGTTTTCGAGATAATAGCTTGTATGTGTGTTTATCAATTGTTGAAAGAACTTTAGACATGTATATTGTCGTAATGTATTAGATGCGTAAGCTGTTACAGTATCGTTCAGATTAACATTTACGGACTTGAGTATCTGTTGTAGGGAGCCGGACGTTTACAGACGTCACGGCCAGCTCTAGGTATATCTAGAACTGACAGTGACAGACGTGTCCCGACCGATAGCCAACCTGGAGATCCTTATCTTTATTTGCTGATCAAAGACTTAACTCCGTTCATGTCTAAAATATGTTGCCTTAGAAAACGCGTTGACGTGTTACAATTGTTACATATCATTGACCTTCCTGTCCTTTTCCTGTGTGTTTACATAAATATCGTTACAAGCACCAGTGGAGGGCTGTTCCGGGGCTGCTTCTGCGTCGTCGTGTGTAGCGTTAGGTGTCATCCAGTTATTTCCTAGAGGTTGTGCTTCCCTCCCTCTGTCTACAGTAGCATGCTGCGATACCAAATTATGACTGACCATGTGATCAGACGACGGTACAATGAACGCGTACCCATCGATAATTTGAACAGACGAAGAAGACGGCTGGTTGGTTTCACTTTCCGACTGTTTGTTGACGGATACATTTTGATAAATGACAATGTTGGTTGTTGGGCCGTCGTTGTTTATAGCTGATTTACTGATGGATGATCTATCCTCTGGAGTCTCCCCGCGTGTTGCCTTTATGGTACATCTGTTGGCATCGATGGTGATTTCGTTGATGGAGCCTCTACTTCCTGAGTTCCTGGCTGTGTTTATGTAGATGTTGGTTTCAGTTGCCAGGTGCTGTCGCGTCTTGCAGACGTTAGTTGTCAAGTTCTCGTAACAAACAGACAAGCCAGACTGTAGCTGTTCATTATTCTGGTAAGTTTCGGGCATTAGACGAGATTCTTCATAGGAGGGCGGTTGTTGGTTGTTGGTGTCCACATTATGGTTGGTTCGGCTGGTGCCTGGAGTACAGTTTAAGCTGTCCACAGTTTCGCTGTACTCATTAAGACTTTCACAGCTTCTGGTCACATGGTTATTGAAGTCTGTCAGAGAGGAGACAGCTGCTTGAGACGTGACTGATGCTGCTGTGACTACTTTAGTACAGGTGTAGGCGTTTGAGCACGAAGACCCATTTTTCTGTGTTGAAGATAAAAAAACACAGTTATTTGAAACCGCCTTGGTAACAGGCTGTATAACATAGTTAGTTAGTTAGTTAGTTAGTTAGTTAGTTAGTTAGTTAGTTAGTTAGTTAGTTAGTTAGTTAGTTAGTTAGTTAGTTAGTTAGTTAGTTAGTTGGGTTATCATAATTTCACTCCGGACGTTATATAGGTGCTCAGACCCTCCCCTGTATAACATAGTTAGTTAGTTAGTTAGTTAGTTAGTTAGTTAGTTAGTTAGTTAGTTAGTTAGTTAGTTAGTTAGTTAGTTAGTTAGTTAGTTAGTTGGATTAACATAATTTCACTCGGACGTTATATAGGTGCTCAGACCCTCCCCTGTATAACATAGTTAGTTAGTTAGTTAGTTAGTTAGTTAGTTAGTTAGTTAGTTAGTTAGTTAGTTAGTTAGTTAGTTAGTTAGTTAGTTAGCTGGATTAACATAATTTCACTCCGGACGTTATATAGGTGCTCAGACCCTCCCCTGTATAACATAGTTAGTTAGTTAGTTAGTTAGTTAGTTAGTTAGTTAGTTAGTTAGTTAGTTAGTTAGTTAGTTAGTTAGTTAGGTTAACATAATTTCACTCCGGACGTTATATAGGTGCTCAGACCCTCCCCTGTATAACATAGTTAGTAATTAGTTAGTTAGTTAGTTAGTTAGTTGGGTTAACATAATTTCACTCCGGACGTTATATAGGTGCTCAGACCCTCCCCTGTATAACATAGTTAGTAATTAGTTAGTTAGTTAGTTGGTTAGTTAGTTAGTTAGTTAGTTAGTTAGTTAGTTAGTTAGTTAGTTAGTTAGTTAGTTAGTTAGTTAGTTAGTTAGTTAGTTAGTTAGTTAGTTAGTTAGTTAGTTAGTTAGTTAGTTAGTTAGTTAGTTAGTTAGTTAGTTAGTTAGTTAGTTAGTTGGGTTAACATAATTTCACTCCGGACGTTATATAGGTGCTCAGATCATCCCTTGTATAACATAGTTAGTTAGTTAGTTAGTTAGTTAGTTGGTTAGTTAGTTAGTTGGATTATCATAATTTCACTCCGGACGTTAAATAGTTGCTCAGATCATCCCTTGTATAACATAGTTAGTTAGTTAGTTAGTTAGTTAGTTAGTTAGTTAGTTAGTTAGTTAGTTAGTTAGTTAGTTAGTTAGTTAGTTAGTTAGTTAGTTAGTTAGTTAGTTAGTTAGTTAGTTAGTTAGTTAGTTAGTTTGTTAGTTTGTTGGTTAGTTTGTTGGTTAGTTGGGTTAACATAATTTCACTCCGGACGTTATATAGGTGCTCAGACCCTCCCCTGTATAACATAGTTAGTTAGTTAGTTAGTTAGTTAGTTAGTTAGTTAGTTAGTTAGTTAGTTAGTTAGTTAGTTAGTTAGTTAGTTAGTTAGTTAGTTAGTTAGTTAGTTAGTTAGTTAGTTAGTTAGTTAGTTAGTTAGTTAGTTAGTTAGTTAGTTGGATTTTCATAATTTCACTCCGGACGTTATATAGGTGCTCAGATCATCCCTTGTATAACATAGTTAGTTAGTTAGTTAGTTAGTTAGTTAGTTAGTTAGTTAGTTAGTTAGCTAGCTAGCTAGTTAGTTAGTTAGTTAGTTAGTTAGTTAGTTAGTTAGTTAGTTAGTTAGTTAGTTAGTTAGTTAGTTAGTTAGTTAGTTAGTTAGTTAGTTAGTTAGTTAGTTAGTTAGTTAGTTAGTTAGTTAGTTAGTTAGTTAGTTAGTTAGTTAGTTGGATTATCATAATTTCACTCCGGACGTTATATAGGTGCTCAGATCATCCATTGTATAGCATAGTTAGTTAGTTAGTTAGTTAGTTAGTTAGTTAGTTAGTTAGTTAGTTAGTTAGTTAGTTAGTTAGTCAGTTAGTTAGTTAGTTAGTTAGTTAGCTAGTTAGTTAGTTAGTTAGTTAGTTAGTTAGTTAGTTAGTTAGTTAGTTAGTTAGTTAGTTAGTTAGTTAGTTAGTTAGTTGGTTAGTTGGGTTAAGATAATTTCGCTCCGGACGTTATATAGGTGCTCAGACCCTCCACTGTATAACATAGTTAGTTAGTTAGTTAGTTAGTTAGTTAGTTAGTTAGTTAGTTAGTTAGTTAGTTAGTTAGTTAGTTAGTTAGTTAGTTAGTTAGTTAGTTAGTTAGTTAGTTAGTTAGTTAGTTAGTTAGTTAGTTAGTTGGGTTAACATAATTTCACTCCGGACGTTATATAGGTGCTCAGAACCTCCCCTGTATAACATAGTTAGTTAGTTAGTTAGTTGGGTTATCATAATTTCACTCCGGACGTTAAATAGGTGCTCAGACCCTTCCCTGTATAACAATAATTTGTGGATAATGAACATCAACTTGCATAGGCCAGATAGCCAGTAACTGGACTTGGTAAAAGTGCGAGCGTATCGTGTAAATGACTAAATTTCTTAAAACTTGTTTGATTCATTTCTTTACTTGTTATACCGTTTAAATTAGTCTACGAGGAAGGAGATGAAGCACGTATGGGCATAACCTGAGTGCAGCAATATAAATTCTTGACTGATTACCTCATACTTTCAATGCGTATTATTTAATGTAGGTCACCGCTGCTCTGCTTCTGCTTGTGCTGCAGCTCTTGGTGATAACTGGGATTAGGATGATGAATGAATGAGATTATGGTGATCATTGGTATTACCATGATCATTGGGATTACGATGATCATTGGGATTACGATGATCATTGGGATTACCATGATAACTGGGAATACGATAATCATTTGGATTACGATGTTCATTGGGATTATGATGATAAGTAGGAATACGATGATCATTGGAATTACCATGATTATTTGCGATTACGATGATAAGTGGGATTACGATAATCACTGGTCATGTATAACATGATCATGAGGATTACAAATATCACTGGGACTGTCATCTGTACAAGGGAAATGTTTGTGTGTCTTTCTGTGAGTGTATATCTTCTTCGTGACTTCCTCTTTAACCACTTTTGGTGTGGAGGGGGATAACAGGTTCTGCTTCTTGCTCTTGTGGCCGCCTAGACCACAGACACATGGTTCTGTTGTAGAGTTTCTCTGATGTTATCTGTGATGAGGTGCCTTCTCATGGTCTCCATGCACACAGAGAGCCAAGTGGAAAATCCATGCGACAAACAACCGCACGAAATTCTTGGGACCAGATGAGTAGCCGTGGGCAGGCCCGAGCTAGACGTGGTCCGTTGCTTACCAAAAGTCGTAGAAGACTGTTGTGTTAATAGAAAAAGTAGTTCTTATGTCGTGTGAATGACCAATGTTTGAATGTGTCGTAAGCGATGGAAGTGTGAATAATTGTTGGAGCATGTTGAATAAATGTAACAGAATGAACTGAAAGCAAGTACAAGGAAGCTAAGCGGCGTTTGTGTTATCAGTCCTAGACGTTAGAACAGTGCAAGTAGACATGTTGCAGTAATCATATAGAGTTGAACCATGGCGAAAGCCGAGACATCGTAAGCCAAGGTATATTTCAAGTATCGTTGTAAGCCAAGGTTCATTCCTATATTACTCTTGGCTACTTCATACTCTACGTCCTTTTAGTTTATGCTTTGCATAGTATGGTGTCACAAAACATTCTCTCTAAGTTGGCCAACCACTTGATCTGACGTCTTTGTATGTAATCTGGAATTGGTCTGGTGCCGACATTTTCTCCTATGGTTAGTACTTAGTAGTTAATTTTACCCCATTAGGACATCACACAAGCGATAAACACGCGACGACACAAAGTGCCACCATGTGAATAAGGATCACCCGTGACAATGTCCCAGAAACCGTGGTCAGCTATTAGGTCATAGTTATGGCCAGGCTATATTGCGGCCCATGGCAAGAGCCAGGGCGGGGCTTCATAATAACGAAAAATTGCATCCCACGAGGGGATGACTTGTTTCACGTCTCCTGTGATCTAATTTCAGATTTTTTTCTCTTCTGATCACTCCTGTTGGTGCGTTTTACTGCAGCTGAAGTTGTCTACGAGATGAGGCAGCCAGGCCCAAGACACGGAACCTAATCACCTCTCACAGCATGCGTGTTGCTATCATTAATCTCCCATATGGTGACACAAGGGCTACCTGGTCCGTATATACAGGCAGACGTCGGCTCTGTGGCTGTCTATGCGAACGCTTCGTAATGTCGGGATGCTGGGTTCGATCTCAGCGCGGGCCATGCACCTTGCATTGGTTTCGACAGTGGTATCCAGAAAGCCGACCGTCCAGAAGCAATGGCAAAATACTGGAAATAAATTTGCCTAGAAAAACCACAAAACAGTTGGTTCTGCAACGTCCTGTAAAGGATACGCAACTAACCTGTATAGGCAGTCAACTCGAGATTGTCCCCTTTATTTGTTGTCATTCTATCCCGATGGAAAGGATGTCACTCCGCGTTGACAGACTCACCAATGGAGACCTACAGCACAGACTGATATCCCATACAACATTGGCTCTCAACCTTCCCAAGGCAGCGACCCTTTAATAAAGTTCTCTCATGTTGTGGCAACCCCCACCCCCCCCCCCTTCCCCAAATATTCTTTTTCTACATAACTTCAGTGAATATGTGTCTTCTGTGGTCTTAGGAGATCCCTGTAAAAGGGTCGTTTGACCCCAAAAAAAAAGGGTCGCGACCGGCAGGTTAAAAACCGATGCCATAGAACGAACGAAGAGGTGAAGAAAATCGCTGACAATGGATAGGACATGTTGGTAAATACTGAACGGCCAGGAGCTTCGGGAGAGGACAAAAGATAGAAGGTTTGGCCTGAGTTTTTTAAAACCATATGCTGCAGTATGGAGATATGGAACAAACAAAAAACCCACACACACACAAAAAAAACAGAACAGGAATTTAAAAATCATCATAGAAAACATGAGAGACCTGCATGGTGCTGGTCTGTTGTGCACGGGCCATCCAGTTGATCTGACTGTTGGATCGCTGCACGGCTCTCTCTGTCCTCCTCGGCTGCTCCGCTGGCACGTCATTGGGGGCAGTTTCCTCGACTGATCTGCAGAAAATATCATTTACAATCTACATGATGTGGCACTCACGTGAAGCTCAAGTGTTTTACATTGATATGTGCGTGTCTTCCTACTTCTATCTGCCTCTGTTATTACCTATTCATTGATATGTGCGTGTCTTCCAACTTCTATCTGCCTCTGTTATTACCTATTCATTGATATGTGCGTGTCTTCCTACTTCTATCTGCCTCTGTTATTACCTATTCATTGATATGTGCGTGTCTTCCAACTTCTATCTGCCTCTGTTATTACCTATTCTTTGATATGTGCGTGTCTTCCTACTACTATCTGCCTCTATTTTTACCTGTCCATTCCCTAGTCTGCCTATCTTAACGTGCGTTTTGTTTGTCTGCCTGCCTGTTAGCTACTCCATTAATATCAATTCTAACCTTGTCCTTCTGCTGTGAGAGATGCCAGAGTTACGTCTGACCCCGAAGACGTTTCTGTTTTCTCTTCTGTTGTTTTGAGAATTCTTTCGGATCAGGACCACAGCTGCGACGACCACCAGGAATGCAACCAGAGTCAGCACCGCAGTGATGACCATTAGAGTCAGGCTGGTGTCGTCTGCTGTTTCAAACAAATGCAAAGATAAATACATGTATAAAAAATAGAATCAGAGGACAAGAGAGAATAATTTGGATCATCAAAGTATTCATTAGAACTGCCGGACAGAATAGCGACGTCCATCCGCCAACCAGAGAGCTAACGCAGTCATCATCATCACCAATTTTATCTTCTGCCGTTAAGTGTTGTGGGGAGTAACATTTTGCGATCCCTGCTAGGTGGGCAGCAATGGCCATTGTCATTCCGTGTCGATGTAGATGCTCTTTAATGTCATCAGTCCATTTCGACTAGGGCGGCCTCTTGCTTTCTCTTCAGATCTCTTCACTTGTAGCACTAGCGTTGGTAGTTGTTCTGGCTGCATTCTTACTAAATTACAGAACTACTTTATCTTCTGTTTCTCAATGACTTTCCTGCATGGTGTTGTTCCCACAGTCTGATAATATCGTTTCTAACTTTGTCTCAGATGTTAAGTTGGTGGCTTCTCTCAGGCATCTAGTTTCACAGGTGTTTATTTTACGTAGGTTAGCCTTTGATGTTGTCTAAGTCTGGCACTGGTAGCACGGTGTTGATATAAATGAATGAATGAATGAATTTCTACCGCACTAGGACATCACACAAGCGATAAACACCCGATGACACAAAGTGCCACCATGTGGATGAGGATCACCGTGGAGAGGTCCCAGAAACCGCGTTCAGACAATTGGCCATATTTATGGCCTGCCTATATAGCGGCCCCTGGCAAAAGCTAGAGTGGGGCTTCAAATAACAAAAAAATACGTCCTAAAAAGGACGTAAGGATTTATGGATATAAATTAGTATAAAGTGGCTGTCTACAATCTGTTTCTTGGCGCTTATACTTATGTTTGGATGTCTTAATAACAGTGTCAATGAGTATATAAGTACTTTAGCTCGTTGACATCTTGTTTCTATTTCCGGTCTATTATTCCGTCCTCAAAAAATATACTTTCTAGACAGATGTTTAAATTCTGTAATTTGTTTCAGAGAATTACCATTCAACCCGTCGATATGCAGCGGACCAGGAATTCTACTGACCTGTATTACCTCCCTTTAAGTAGTATTTATTTTCATGTGACATCTTCCGCGTGTTGAACTTAGCCTGTTGAAATGGTCTTGCTAACTCAGTGAAATGAGAAGACATGAAGGACGCCACAGATGTAGTTGTGCTAACATTGGTAATATCACACTGTTACCTTCGCTTGGTTTGACAGTCTTGGTCGCTTCGATAATTTTCATATGCACTTCCCCTGGAGAGATAGAGAGAGAGAGAGAGAGAAAGAAACAATAATTTAGTGAAATTGTTTTTTTGTTTGCAAATTGCTTTTAAATATTGAAGGTTCCAGTTTCGAAGTTTAGAGGGACAGCATTCTCAGTGAATGAAGTTTCCAATCAGCAGCTTGACTTAATGAGTAGTCAATTGTGGCCAGATATGTTGTAGTGATGTAGTAAACATTATTTATTAGCATTCATAGCAATTGATAATATTTAGTTGATAACATCTTCTTCTTTTCCTCATTCGTATTGTTATCTTATTTTTATTCTCCAACAACAAAAATGGCAACCACGGCAATAAATTCAATCATACAATCAGTTGGAGAATTATGATAAAGATGATGATGGCGATAATGGTGGTGGTAATAACCCTGATACAAGTGAAATCATACACTCAGTGCACTACGTTCTCATTTATTTTTAAAAACATTTGCCTTGTCGTTCCTAGTTTCGAATTGTCTGTGTAAGGTACATGACATTTCCAAAGTTTATGTTGCCATATTTTAGGATGAGATAAACCACCTTTCTGCCAACTGACAATCATGTTTTGAGCATCAAAGGTAAGCGGATCCTCGCTCTCCCTGCGATTAGCTTTTTATAGATTTGCAGAAAGTTTGACGGGTTGTCACCATAGACATCTAGAGCCGGGGTGTCCCCGTACAGATATCTGAAGCAAAATCTAATCTATGATGTAAGTATACGTACGTTCGCTGGCTCCATAAACATCTAGAGCCGGGGTGTTACCCGTACAGATTTCTGAAGCAGAATCTAATCTATGCTGTAAGTATACGTACGTTCGCTGGCTCCATAGAGCACCTGAAGCTGGAAGCCTCTTTTGTTACGGTCGCTGAATCGATCGCTGACAAACTGGATCATCAGTTGTGGTCCTTGACTAATGTAAGACAACAAGGGCTGGACGTGTACCGTGTACCTGACACGCTTACCTCCCCTAGAACATGAAGCCCAGATTTAGCATGAAAGAAAAACTACCAGGCAAAAACAATTCAACTGATTATATGTTTATCAATCTCTAGTGTTTCATGGATAGAAAACATGCAGAAAAACTGAAACAATTATAAAATACAATGCACAAAATATACATTAACTGGTTCCTGTGCAAAACAGCAGAAATTACATTGTAAGATACGCTCCATAATAAGGAGTTAACAGGTAGAGTCCACCATATGCTAAGAAAAACTTTATAACGGCATAATTAGATTGTCCATTCAGTTGCTAACGTACAGATTTTACAGAGAAGCTTTAATCTGGTCGTCCGTGTCAAGGCCATTACAGTTCAGGCGCAGTCTACTGTGAAGCGGTACTTAGCCACGCAGGCCTACATGTGACAACTGGTTGCTGTAGCCGTTAGGTGCGGCCTAATGATAAGTACTTTGGAGGTTGAACGGGCTGTCTGAGAATCCGTCTTGTTGTAATCTCAGAATGGTGTGAATAATCTTTTTATAGCAATCTGGAGAGTACAACCGACAGACTGACTGACTTTCTACCCCACCAGGACATCACACAAGCGATAAACACCCGATGACACAATGTGCCACCATGTGGGCGAGGATCACCGTGGAGAGGTCCCAGAAACCGCGTTCAGCTATTATACCATATTTATGGCCGGGTTATATTGCGGCCCCTGGTATGAGCCAGATCAATCAATCAGGTGGCGTCTCCACAATGAAGGTTGGCTGCAATGGATCTCCAACAAGCCCTGTCTCTTGCCCTTGATGTACACTCACTCATACTGCTGTTCGTCCATCTCTTGATGTTATCCTCATACTTGTAACGCTGTCTGCCTTTTGCTCGCCTACCTTGAACCTTTCCCTCTAGGATGATCTTTACAATACTGTTATGTCTTTTAATAAGGCCAAAATATTTCACTTGTCTCTTTTTTATTTCACCTAGCAACTCTCTTTTCATTCCCAATTTCCTCAGTACCTCTGTATTTGATAGCTTTTGTTTCTATGAAATACGACCTAATCTTCTGTATATCCACATCTCCAAAGAATTGATACGATTTCCCACTTGTTTGTTCATTGTCCATGTCTCTGTGCCATACAGTAAGGTTGAGAATACATAACATTTGACAATTCTCATTTTTAATGTATTGCTTATTTCTCTTGATGTCAGTAACTTTTGCATGTTGTTGAAAATGTTTTTGGCCATCCCTATTCTTTTCTTGACTTCTGTTTCACTTCTGCCGTCACATGCTATTACTTGTCCAAGATATAAGAAATTTTTAACTTGTTCCAATTTCATCCCGTTCACTGTGATTTCCATTGTAAGCTGATTATTTTCTTTGCTAAATATCATGGTTTTTGTCTTTTTCAAATTTATATCTAATCCAAATTCTGCACTCCTTCTGTTTACTTGCTCCACTAGGTCTTGCAACTCCTGCTCACTCTCTGCTAGCAACACTGTGTCGTCAGCATATCTCAGATTGTTTATTATTCTACCATTGATGTGCAGTCCTGGTAATTCTACAATTTCTTTAAAAATGGTTTCTGTACATTAGTTGAAAAGGCTAGGCGACAGCACACATCCTTGTCTTACTCCTCTCTTGATCTCTATCTGGGGTGAGCAGATGTTGTCATATCTTACTATTGCTTCTTGCTCCCAGTATAAGTTTGTAATGAGTCTGATATCCTTTCCATCTAGTCCTATGTTTTGAAGAGCTGCAGTTAGTTGTTCATGTTGCACTCTGTCGAAAGCTTTTTTGTAATCTATAAAACATGCATAAATATTTTTCTGAACTTCTATATATTTTTCAGTCAGCATCTTTAGACAAATTATGACCTCTCGAGTACCACTGTTTTTACGGAATCCAAATTGCTCTTCAGAAACTTCTTTCTCTATTTTATCTTGAATTCTTGCTTGTATTATCTTCAAGGGTAACTTAGTTACGTGACTCATTAGGCTAATAGTTATGTAATCTTCACAATCAACAGCTTTTGATTTCTTGGGTAGTGGGATAAAAACAGACTTTTAATGTCCCTGGGAATGTACCCATAGTTATAAATGTCATTGCATATTTCTGTGATAGTATCAATTCCAAAAGTAGATAATGATTTTAACATTTCTGCAGTTATGTTGTTTGGACCTGCAGCTTTACCCTGCTTCATTAAGGTTTTTAATTTTTGTTTAAAAAAAAAACATGAATTCTGGCCTGCAACATAGAATCTGTTTCAAGTACGGCTCGGAAATCTGTGCATCTATTATGAAAGCCCGAAAATGTCTTGATTCTTCAGAGATGTGATTTTTCAGAAGAATGCTGAACACTCCTGGACAGTCAACGGATCAAACTGGATGTTCTGTGAAACGTGGAGACAGGAAGGCAACTTATCACAGACTTCACAAAAAAGCATCCATTTCTGGCGGGCGCGTTGTTAGAATAAAGAGAAAGAAGCACGATGTGACATGAGGAAAGTTTTACAGAAAGAGAAAGACAAAGTGAGAAGGATCTTGTCAGCCTTGTATCATGGTACAGAAGAGTTGCAGAACATGAAGTGAGACATGCTTTGAGAGATCGCAGATTATGGAAAGACATGATCGCCAATACCAGCCAGCAAGACACTTGGTGGTGATGGTTTTAGAACTGATCAATTTTATAATAGTAAAAGAAGAGAAGAGGGGAGCGAATGATCAGATGTCTTGACATCTCCGAGTTCTAACTGACTAAAGCCATGCTACATGCGAGTGTTCGTTCTCTACAGTAATTACCTGTCGAAAATTTCCAGCCAATCAGGGTTGCCGTAACTGTCGCTGCCAATACCCAGATCAAAATCTGAAAACACCAGGCCCCATTGGCCAGAGGAAACGTTCAACTCCCAGGTCAAGTTTAGGTCTGGGGGGTACTGTCTGGGATAGTTGGGTGAGTTGATGACAGTATCTTCTGGTTTGATGTATTTGTTGAACTGGTATGTCTTGGCTGGTGAAATGTCCAGTGGAATCACATTTTATATCTACATACAACAGTTACACTTTATGCAAGGAAAAGAATTTGTGATAATTGTTTACACAGAACAACATTGAAGACAGAACACTGGAAACAGAACAACACTTAAGACAGAAAAACACTGAAGATAGAACAACACTGAAGACAGAACACTGGAAACAGAACAACACTGAAGACAGAACACTGGAAACAGAACAACACTTAAGACAGAACAACACTGAAGACAGAACAACACTGAAAACAGAACACTGGAAACAGAACAACACTGAAGACAGAACAACACTTAAGACAGAACAACACTGAAGATAGAACAACACTGAAGACAGAACACTGGAAACAGATCAACACTGAAGACAGAACACTGGAAACAGAACAACACTGAAGACAGAACAACACTTAAGACAGAACAACACTGAAGATAGAACAACACTGAAGACAGAACAACACTTAAGACAGAACAACACTGAAAATGGAACAACTGTGACGAAACGACCTCAGTGTTTTTTGAAGTTAGTACGGGTAATAATTTCTTCTGTTTATAGAGAGACAAAGAATTATATTTGCTATGCCCTAAGCCTGAATCATGTACTAAAACCACATGGATTTAATTGTTTCCAGTCCTTGGGCCAGACAAAGCAACCCAGCTTTGTGTAATATTACCTAACATTACCTTAGCTAGCGATTCGTTTTACCAGCCAGTGTCATATAATTATCTCCTGACTACAGACTGTAGGGGCGAGCAACTGGGAACTAATTATCACACATGAGATTATCTCCCATGAGCCAAACCTTAGTGTCATAAATGTTATATAACACAGACTGAGTGGGGTCTTTTGAACAGAGCAGATCAGGGGAATTAAGTGGTCTGAAAGACAACTCCAGACCTGACTGCGTCCCCTGGACACTTAAGACAGAACAACACTGAAGACAGAACAACACTGACGATAGAACAACACTGAAGCCAGAACAACACTGAAGACAGAACAACACTAAAGACATATCCATATATGCTTTCTCTGGCTCAAAATCATTCCAAGAGTTTAGATCTTGTTGCAGTGACCATTGGGTTAGCAACGCCACGACCATGAAGATTTATATATTTTTTATTTCATTCGTTGTATCCGCAATTAGTCATTCGTTTGTGTATCCACGTGCAACAAGCGATAGTTCGTTGACAATTTTATAGTACCTTGCAGCAGGATCAGCAGAAGCAACAACAATAACGACGACAATGACGAAAATAACAATAACAACAGCAACAACAACAAGAACCAGAACAATAAGAAGCATGGGAAAACAGAAAAGGAGAATATGAATAAAAGAGACCAGAAAAAAAAGAAGAAATAAAACTAAAATAAATGAATGGTAAGTCAGGCTTCATTCTGTGAAACTGCAGTGGATCTGGGCAATTGTTACCTTCAGGTGACTGTTCCAACTTGGGTTCTGTTGTATGGTAAATGTTCGTGTGTACTTCACCTAGAGGAGAACAATCATTGCAAATTTATCTGTTTTGTTTTTAACTGTTGAAGGCAAGAGAATTTGTCAAAATTGTTTATCTTTTATGACTTCTAACTAGCGTAACTGACAAGTTACTGGAAGCAGTTATTTGTTTCATAGCATTATGTTTATAATAAAGAACGATAGAAGTAAACAACGATCTTTACTTACGCTTCATTGACAATATGAAAACATTAGATTGTGTGAAACATGAAGAACTAATTAGACTACTGGAAAGTTCTGGTTGTTCGTCCGCGTCTGGACTGTGGTCTTGCTCCAGAAATCGAGCTCTGTCCACAGCTTCGTTTTATAGATCGGCTTGTTTGGATGCATGCAAACTGTTGGTTCCTCCATCAACATTATCAACCCAGACAATTTTACATCTGATATCAATCCTGGTAGCCCTTGCAAGCTGATCGGGCCTGACGCTAAAGCAAAGAAACACAATTACGTTGTTTATGTGACTGGATAAACTAGTCGCAGGCAACCGTCAGTCCCTTTGGGCCATGTATCTGTGCCACACAGATTTTGACGTCTGCTGCTACTGGACAGTCCGCTGTGGGAGTGACTGCCTCTGCCAGGCAGTCCACATAAGAACGTTGATACGTTATGGTTCTGAGACTGGATTTCTCTCAGACGTCTCCTCTCTAAAGTTTACTGCTTTTGGTCTTTTCAGAGTGCGACGGTCCGTCTTTCACTGTCTGCTTCCAAAGAAGTCGATCTGCCACTGATCTTTCCCATGTGTCAATGTTGATTTCGTTCAGGTCGAGTTTTCATACGTCCTTATAGCTTAACTTTGGCCTTCCTATAGATCTTATCCCCGTTACCAGGAGGTCCCAACCAACGCAAACGCCTTTGCTTCACCAGGAAGTAAATTGGCATTCCTTTTCTTTCAAGAACACATTCACTGGACACAAGGTCTAGCTATGAGGTATTAAATACGCATCTTGATAAACTGGTTACATGGCAAACTACGGAGCGTAAATCTGGTAAAAACCACATAAATGTGGGATGTGGCGTGCAACGACCTATGGAGGATATTTAGCTGTTTACACTGGTGCCGGCACTGGTGACGATAATCAAAGACATACAACACATTGGTGCTATATGTGCGCAATGAGAGCGTATGTGGTTTCATGTCATGATTTCTATCAGTGTGCAATGAGAGCGTGTGTGATCACATGTCATTAGTTCTATCGATGCACAATAAGAGCATATGTGGTTACATGTCATTAGTTCTATCTGTACGCAATGAGAGCGTATGTGGTTTCATGTCATTAGTTCTATCAGTGTGCAATGAGAGCGTGTGTGGTCACATGTCATTAGTTCTATCTATGCGCTATAAGAGCATATGTGGTTACATGTCATTAGTTCTATCTGTGCGCAATGAGAGCGTATGTGGTTTCATGTCATGATTTCTATCAGTGTGCAATGAGAGCGTATGTGGTCACATGTCATTAATTCTATCTATGCGCTATAAGAGCATATGTGGTTACATGTCATTAGTTCTATCTGTGCGCAATGAGAGCGTATGTGGTTTCATGTCATGATTTCTATCAGTGTGCAATGAGAGCGTATGTGGTCACATGTCATTAGTTCTATCTATGCGCTATAAGAGCATATGTGGTTACATGTCATTAGTTCTATCTGTGTGCAATAAGAGCGTATGTGGTTTCATGTCATGATTTCTATCAGTGTGCAATGAGAGCGTGTGTGGTCACATGTCATTAGTTCTATCTATGCGCTATAAGAGCATATGTGGTTACATGTCATTAGTTCTATCTGTGCGCAATGAGAGCGTATGTGGTTTCATGTCATGATTTCTATCAGTGTGCAATGAGAGCGTATGTGGTCACATGTCATTAGTTCTATCTATGCGCTATAAGAGCATATGTGGTTACATGTCATTAGTTCTATCTGTACGCAATGAGAGCGTATGTGGTCACATGTCATTAGTTCTATCTATGCGCTATAAGAGCATATGTGGTTACATGTCATTAGTTCTATCTGTGCGCAATAAGAGCGTATGTGGTTTCATGTCATGATTTCTATCAGTGTGCAATGAGAGCGTGTGTGGTTTCATGTCATGATTTCTATCAGTGTGCAATGAGAGCGTGTGTGGTTACATGTCATTAGTTCTATCTGTGCGCAATGAGAGCGTATGTGGTTTCATGTCATGATTTCTATCAGTGTGAAATGAGAGCGTGTGTGGTCACATGTCATTAGTTCTATCTATGCGCAATAAGAGCATATGTGGTTACATGTCATTAGTTCTATCTGTACGCAATGAGAGCGTATGTGGTTTCATGTAATGATTTCTATCAGTGTGCAATGAGAGCGTATGTGGTCACATGTCATTAGTTCTATCTGTACGCAATGAGAGCGTATGTGGTTTCATGTCATGATTTCTATCAGTGTGCAATGAGAGCGTATGTGGTCACATGTCATTAGTTCTATCTATGCACAATAAGAGCATATGTGGTTAAATGTCATTAGTTCTATCTGTGCGCAATGAGAGCGTATGTGGTTTCATGTCATGATTTTTATCAGTGTGCAATGAGAGCGTATGTGGTCACATGTCATTAGTTCTATCTGTACGCAATGAGAGCGTATGTGGTTTCATGTCATGATTTCTATCAGTGTGCAATGAGAGCGTATGTGGTCACATGTCATTATTTCTATCTGTGCGCAATGAGAGCATATGTGGTTACATTTCATTATTTACGTCTGTGCGCAATGAGAGCATATGTGGTGACGTGTCATTATTTTTATCTGTGCGCAATGAGAGCGTATATGGTTACATGTTACATGTCATTAGTTCTATCTGTGTGCAATGAGAGCGTATGTGGTTACATGTTACGTGTCCTTAGTTCTATCTGTGTGCAATGAGAGCATATGTAATTACATCTCATTAGTTTCATCTGTTTGCAATAAGAGCCTATGTGATTTCATCTCATTAGTTCGATCTGTGTGCAATGAGAGCGTATGTGATTACATGTCATTAGTTCCATCTGTGCGCAATGAGAGCTATGTAATTACATGTAACTCACCTGCAAAGTGACACAACGTCACTAATATCACAATTCGTCCTGATGGGGACATCTTATTTTAGTTCTCTGTCATGGCGTCCGCTTTGTGGCTTCTGCTTACTCTGTGGGCGTCAAACTGGCAAACTGATGAACTCATTCTCTACCAGTGACTTGGAGTGGGTGTGTAGTTGACTCTATTCATGATATTCGAGATTAAACGCAAGGCAAGAACTGTCGTTGTAGTGTACAGTGTGGCGCCTTTATAGCATGGGGGTCTATTATCTTAGCCCCCCCCCCTCCCCTCCCCCAACCCCCCACATAAAAGTATACACATTAGATAGGGATAGGGACCTAAATACCACCCCCCCCCCCTCCCGAACCATGCATAGTTTTTTTAATAAAGTTCTTGCATATACTTTTAGTATATACTTTGTCTATTTTTTGAACAGATGTGAGAGTTCGACTACATTGATGAAATGGGAAGGAGGATTTAAGTTTAAATGCTGAAGACGAATTAGTTATTAGAACAGAAAACGAATAAATATGTAAGAGACAAAATGTACTTTGCAGCATATCAGGAGCCTCTCTTGGCAGCGGGGAAACGTCGCACGCTTGCTTGGTCCTGGTACGTGGTGAGACAGGGTTCGAATGTAAAGACTGTGCCTCAAGAAACATTGGGGGGGGGGGGAAGAGATAGTCGAAGAAGAGGAGGGGCAAAGAAAAATCTGGAATGATATCAGTGACAGGACTATGTTATCATACACTTATTCTCAAGCGGAAGACAGAGAAAGATGGCAGGTTTTCTGTGCTGGTGCTTCCATCCACGACCCTAACGGGTCAAGGGTTATTTTATTTTCTGTATATACTTTAAATATTTTTTTAATATTTATTTGCTTTTCAGCATATTATAACTGTTGTTGAATTAATGATAATAATTATTGTTACTAATGAATTAAAGATGGCTCAAACACCCCAGGAGCTTCCCCCCCCCCCAAACAATGTGGCAGGTAGGGGGAGGCTTAAGGTCTCTAATCCCAAATGTCTCAGTAGTTAGTTAGTTAGTCTTTCCTCTTGTGTCGAGTGTGGCACATAGGGCAGAGGTCATGACTCTCCATGCATGGCGGTTCGTTGCAATCCGTTGTAGGTCTTGGATGTTTGAGTGGCCCATGAGCGAGCCTTCCCTGATGATAGTTCTACGTAGGGTTTCCCTTGGTCTTCCACGAGATCTTTTCCCCTGTGGTGTCCAAATGAGGGCTTGGTAAGGAAGTCTTGATTTATCCATTCTAAGGGCGTGGCCGACATAGTTCCAGCGGGGTTTTCGTATAAAATTAGACACATACTCTTGCCTGGATTCTTGCCTTATTTGTGTATTTGTTCGGAAATCTGACCATTTGAAATTCGTCTCAGTAGTAGTAATAGTAATAGTGGTGGTGGTGGTAGTAGTAGTGGTGGTAGTGGTGGCAGTTGTAGTAGTAGTAGAAGTAGTAGTAGTAGTGGTTATAGTAGTAGTAACAGCAGCAGCAACACCACCGCAAGCAGCAGCAGCAGTAGTAGTAGTGGTTGTAGTAGTAGTAACAGCAGCAGCAACACCACCGCAAGCAGCAGCAGCAGCAGTAGTAGTAGTGGTTGTAGTAGTAGTAACAGCAGCAGCAACACCACCGCAAGCAGCAGCAGCAGCAGTAGTAGTAGTGGTTGTAGTAGTAACATCAGCAGCAACACCGCCGCAAGCAGCAGCAGTAGTAGTAGTGGTTGTAGTAGTAGTAACAGCAGCAGCAACACCACCTCAAGCAGCAGCAGTAGTAGTATTGTAGCAGGAGTGAAGGTATCCATAGTGGTAGTGGTGGTAGGGGTGATGGTTATAGTAGTAATACTGTTAGTTTTGTTAAGGTAAAGTAAGTGGCTGCAGTACTAACTGTTGTAGCAGCAGGGTAAATAAGCATTAGAATGGCACAATAAGTCAAGTGTCAACATACGAGTATATACAGCAGTTATAACTATGAAAGTGTACGAAGACATACCTACAGCTTGAAAGAAACGTCCATATAGATTGTTTGCTAATGCTATCCAAGTCAGTTGGGTTTTGGCGGACGTTTAAAGGATGGTGGGTGAAATTGTCAAGTGCATCTTGTTGTGACAGACAACGGCCGCATTTGTTGAAACAAACTGTTCCCTGTGACAGTGTGTTTCTGCAGGCTCGCTGTAGACAACAGGATGTGCCCACTAAGACACTGAAGTACAACGCAGATATAATGCGTACGAGTGTATGGATATGAGAATGGGTGAGTGTGTTCGCAGTGGCATCGGGATGTGTAAAAAAAAAATTCTGTTTGAAGAAAAGAGATGCAGCCTGTACAATATCATAGGTTGTAAACGCACGTGTGTAATTATTCATTAATTTTGAACAAATGCACGTTTGGGAGATGGCGTAGTGTAGCAGCTGCCGCGTCTGCCTGTCAGTCCATTAGTTTGAATCCCTGTCACTATGATTTTGTAAACTTATATGGACTCGTGTATCGACCAAGCTTGAAAACTGGCACCCGGACATTTCTGGGTGTAAAGGTGGCAGAAGCTATATTGTCCACGTCGTCAGTCAAGGATTCGTCCAAACACACACATGCGCGAGCACCCGCGCGCACTCACACACACACGTCGGAAACAAGTGCCATACAAATAGAACTTTTGTTTGTGTCCGAGTGCCAGGTTTTTTACACTAGCCGGTGTAAACCCGTGTTGTAAGGCACTGTTTTCCAAGCGGTTCTTAGTCGCGGCGCCTTTTTTCAATTAAAATGTTTCCACGGCGCCCTAACCTACGTAAAAATATGACTTTTCGTAAGTAAAAGATAAAAACAAATCAAACTCGTGGATCTTCGTTATTGTTTTTTCTTTATTAACATTAAATGAATAATTAATGTGATGGATGAGCCTGTACATCACTGCACATTTTCTCAAATCGTGGAATCAGAAATATTTCGCGGTACCCTTGTGAAGAGGTCGTGGCTCCCCGGGGCGCCGCGGCGCACTGTTTGGGAATCACTGTTGTAAGGTATTACTAAAGATCCATATGCCATATAGTCTTCCTCGTTCTCTCTCACCCATTCTTCTACAGTTTTAGGCATCATTCGGAAGTGTGACAGACCCTCGCCTTACCAGGTGTTGGACCTATCCTATTCTGTCTCTATGTACAATAAAAGAAAAGTATCGCTCCTACAATGTGTCTGATTTATTAAGGGCGTTAGTAGATGCATGCAGATCAACTATTTGTTTGCAGAATACTCTGTCTTGATGGATAGAATTGCTTGTTTTTATCAACACTAGTTTTCAGTTCTGAAATACGTTCTTCAAATGGCGCTGCTTGTATTATCATTTTCGTATTTCGGCGTTTTGTCATGGTTTGTGTTCATCCTCTTTTCCATCTCTGCTGTAGATATCGATGTCACCATAGCCCCCCCCCCCTCCCCCCCCCCCCCTTTCCCCACCACCACCACACCCTTGAAATGGTAACAGTGAGAGCCTTGTGGCATTTAATGTTGGACATCATACACCTTCATCATAAACCTCACCAGATCACGCTAGTGCTAATCAATGATGACCACCTGTTATAAAAATTAACAGGATCACTACTCTCAGAATCAGGTCCTTGACCTTGTCTCAGATGTCATGCTGTCAAACCAGCCTGCTCGGCAGGTACCATTTTGTTCTAGATTTCTTCTGCCTAATTTTCTAGTGTCACTAATTTCTCAATCTCCCACCTCCAAAACGTAAATCCTATCAATACCAAAACGGCTCAATTTACTATGTCACATTTCTTAGGCCCGCTTACATGACAAGGCAGTATATAGAGTGACGTCCGTCGATCGGTTCAAACAAAACTATAGCATAACATAATCTGCTTACAGTTGTCACTGATTTGCTGCATGACTTCTTCATTTGTTTCGCCCTCCCCGCCTGCTCATTGCCACGCACTCCCAAATGTCCAAGACAAAATATCTACGATATGCTTCTTATCTTGTCAAGCCATTTAGCCCACTCTGAGTGAAAACATCAATTTTTATTTTCTCAAGCAAGCTCTGCGAGTCGGTAAAAATCCCAGTATGGCGGGCAGCACTGCTCCGCAGCCATCGAAAAAAGGGGGAGGGGCAGTATTTTAGGGTCCTGTTCACGTTTCCTGACCGATCTACACACTACCTGACCTTTCATTCATGCTTTCTCAGACTGCTCTACGTCAGAGGGGTATCACATTGTCATGCCTCCAATTATATCATGTCGCGTGTTCTATATACTACACGACGACACAGTTTTCAACGACCCCAGGACATGTACAACTGGGCCTAACCACAATCCTCCTACTAATAGCCTCAGCCTAAGTCACACTAGAGACTCTTTTCGAAGAAAGCAGTACAAATTGACACCCCTCTAACCTAGATCGGACTGAGAAAATGTGTAGATTGGCCGGGAAAGGTGAACAGGTCCTATTTCAGAAAAAAATGGGAAGGGGTAACTTATCCTGTAAGGGGACAAACAAGTCCCCTGTAACCATAAATAGAAATTATCTTTAAAAGAATTCGTTGTTAAATGATCAGTTCTTCCACCGATGATTCTGTTCGCCGGGATTGTCCCCAGGCTCCCTTAATTTGTCAAAGACACTAACCACGCCCTCAACATTAGGGCTACTCCCTGGTAAAACCTATAATCGTTTCCTAATAGATGTATGCTTCATCTATACGTCTATACCTCACTCTAATGATCTTTTTGGACAGAAAGTCCAACCTTATCATCCCTACTGCGGTTCTTGGACGCCTTGCCGAACTGGTACGGACCACTAACTCTTTTAAGTTTAATGGTGAGTAAATATTTCGACCAAATCAGTGGGGTCAAGATTGTCACCAAGATGGGCCGTAGTTACCTGTACCTCTTTATGGGTCACCTAGAACATAAGATCAATTTATTATACTTTCCAGAGCTGATTAGGAGATACATAGATGATGGCGTTGATATCACCAAAATCTCCAAGGTGGAACTTGACCAATTCAATAATTACATCAACATAATTCAGCCTATCAAATTCACCTCACT